TTATGTGTATGTGTGTATTGTCTGCATGTATGTAAGTGCACCCATGTCGTGCAATGCCCACAGAGGTCAGAAGAGGATGTCGGATCCCATGGAACTGGAGTTACGAACAGTTGTTAGCTGCCCTGTGGGTGCTGGGATTCAAACCCCGGTCTACTGCAAGAATATTCAGTGTTCTTAACCGCTGAGCCATCTCTCCAGTCCCCTTTCTTGTAGTTTTGAAATGTAAAATATATTTCTGCTTCCTTTGGTATCTTACCCCACAATAGTATCCCAGAAGGCGTTGTGCCTATCTTCTGCAACTTAGCACCCATTGGTCCATACCTCCTCAACCTTCTTCACCCTGATCTCTCAGACTTTGATAACCAGGATTCAATATAAGCTTGTATGAGGGATCTTCCTTAGATTCTTTATAAATGGCTTTTTTTTTTTTTTTGGTCTTTTTGAGACAGGGTCTCCCTGTAGCCCTAGCTGGCCTGGATTCGCTATGGAGACCAGGCTGGCCTCGAACTCACAGAGATCTGCCTGCCTCTGCCTCCCGAGTGCTGGGATTATAGGTATGTGCCACCATGCCTGGCAATCGATAAATGGCTTTTAAGAGGACTAAAGATATCCCAAGACAATTTTGTCTCTGGATCTGCAATATTCCAGCTCTTCACAATCACAGGTCTATTGAGTCAGTCTTCGTAATCTTCAACAGAAGTATGGTTTCTAAAAGGAATTTTAGTTTATACACTGTGTGTTGATCGGCTCAAGATACCTCAGAGTTCTCTTTTAAATTATATAATATAGCATTTTTAAATATAATCACTCTGTGTAGTAGGTTGACAGCCACTCCTTCAACCTGGTTGTGATTTTGTACCTGTTAAGCAATCTCTCTTCATCTCCCATCTGTCTTCATTCCCCCAATCTCTGGTAAATGCTGTTCTGTTTGCTAGATCTGTGAACTCAGCCTTTTCTGACTGCACATATGAAATAAATCCATACATGATACCTGTCTTTCTCTGCTTGAGTTGCTTCACTTAACCTTGCGATATTTTGTTCCATTCTTGTCCCTCTATGGCCAAGCAGTATTCTATTGTGTGTAAATGCTACATTTTCTTTTTAAAGTTTTTATTAGAATCTATTAATTATACATAAAAATTGAGTTCATTTTTGCATTTCCATGCATGTAAATACTGTTGACATACCTCTCATTACCTGCCCTTGTCCCATGCCGTTCCTACTGAATTCCCTTCCATTTATCAACTGGTCTTCCCTCTACTTTTATGTGGGTTTGTTTTGGTTTTGGAACCAATGAGCTTAACTAGAACTGCATCCAGAGCATAAGTGATGGGTTATTTACAGAAGCACAGGCAACTTAATTGTTGCTATATCACTGAAGAAAATATCTCTCCCTTCCTCAATAGCCATTGTCTGCCTATAGAGCCTCAAGGAGGGGTGGGCCTCACAAGCCCCTCTCCACACAAACTGTTAAGTATATAAATCCTCAGAGATGAATGGGGCCTTATAAGCCCTTCCCACCTCTTGGATAGACTGTTGATGGGACTAATGTTACACTGGTCTTGTGTAGGTAGTCACAGCTGCTGGAAGTTCAAGAGTGCACTGGCCATGTCTTGCCTAGAAAACAATGTTTCACAACACTTGACCCTTTCTCCAGCTTCTTTCTACTCTATCTTTTACAGTGTTTCCTGAGCCCTGAAGGAGGATGATATAGATGTTCCATTTATGGCTGAGCATTTGACAGTCACTTAGTCTCAGTGCTTTCACCAGTTATGAGTCCCTGAAGTAACCACCATCCACTGCAAAGAAAGTTATGATAAACAAAGATGACAGCAGGACTAGTTTATGGGCATAAATATAAATATTTAGAGGCAAGTTGATAGGAATGTCAGGTCTATTTTACCAAAACAGCAGCAGTAGCTTCCCTACTTAGGCCAATGTTCTGAAGTCTCCAACAATGAATTTGGGAAATGCACTGATTCATGACTTTCACTCTATGAATATAAAAATTTCTTTTTAGTAGAGTTTCATTCTAGACAATGTGAATCTATGCTCCAAGCCATAGCAACTCATGCCTCACTCAGAATAAACTATCTCTCATTTCCTTTGGGAAAATACCAGCATATCACATTGTATCAAATAAAGAATTACCATGTGATGATGGGAAAGTTTTAAGGTAAAAAATATAGATGTGTCTTATATGTTTAAATTTTTGGATAAAAGTATATTTTGTCCTGATAATCTTCTAATCTAAATAAAATAATGACAGTAGACAAGATGTAATCTATAATAGGGTAGAAATCCATCTGCATGTTTAATACTTCTGGGACAAACTTCTACATTCCATTCCTTTTGAAACATGACAATAAAGCTTACATTGGGAC